CAAACTCATTAGTCAACAGAGCCAAATATCAACAGTACAACGATTGAAATTTCTTTTGAGAGCCAAATTTTTTAAACTTAAACTATATAGGTAGGTACATTGGTATTAACTTAATTAGGGTACTCCTAAGGCTTAAGAAGAGCCACACTCAAGGGGCCAAAGAGCCGCATGTGGCTTGAAAGCCGCAGTTTGCTGACCAGGGTAGAGGGATAACATTTATACTCTGAAGTTATTATCCTAATAAATGCTACAGATTTAATTTAAACAAATTAAATACTGTCAAGACGAAAGAGAAATTATAACCCTCCCCTCGTGTATTTCTTTGTTGTCAGCTACAATTAAATATGGAATAATTAAATAAGTGTATATGAAGGAAATTTACTAAATAGGATGTTATTATATAATTTGCATAAATAAGAGCTCTCTTGATTTAACCTTTTGAATGCCTTTAGCTAAAGGCTTGTTCTAGAGACTTTGCCATGATGTTTTTTAGTGTCACTTCGGCTTCTGCAGCTCTAAGTAAGACCTGGAGACCCTGAGAGAGAAAATCTGTGCTTGTGGGTGGCTGTGGGAGGCAAGACGAGCCTAAAGTGTCGATGAGATCTTCCACACTTGGAGTTACAGTAATTTATAGGGACTTTCCCCAGACCAGATTACATCATAGGAAAATTATCTTTTTCACTTACGGGCAGCAGATGCTGAGGAATGTTGCCATGGTATTGTTTCTCATTCCAGAGAACAATCCTCTCAAAGGTTTCAATCCCTCCTAGAGCCTCACAGTCATCACAGAGAGACCAGGGGCAGGGCTGCTCTGGTGGTTTTTAATGAGAAGCTGTGGGTAGGAAGGCACCTACCAAAGCCTGTTTTTAAACCTATGTCCTAAGTGCCTAGTTCATGCCAGGACCCCACATGGACCCTCCCTCAAAGCAATTCTAATCTAGTGACCCCTGTAGCCTCTTTATTACTGGAATTTCTCACTGCTGTTACAAAACGGAATTTGGGATGAGTATTCTAGAAGTATTACAGTGATTTCATGTAAAAGTGTGCTTTTAGATTGGTTAATATGTTTCCAGTAACATGTCAGGAAAGTTCCAAGAGCAGGAAGCACACCATCTCCCAATTCTTTCTTGGCTACCTTTTCATCTACCATTGGGTTCATTATAGTAAATTACAAACATAAATTTAGCTTATGTTACATATCACCTTCTATACTAAATATGTATTTTCATTTCTTTTTCTGCTTTATTTTCTTTTTTAAAATTTTTAATTAAATTTATTGGGGTGGCATGGGTTAATAAAATTATATAGGTTTCACATGTACATCATATGTGTATCATTGTGTATCATTTGATAGAGGCAAGACTGTCAAACTTTGATATCAGGATATTTACAATAAAGTTTTCTCAAGGTGAAGGGTTGTTCTTCAAAAATCACCTAGAGCCCTGGCTGGTGTTGCTTACAGGTTACAACATCAGCCTGAACATGGAAGGGTCTCAGGTTCGATACCTGGCCTAGTTGGGGTGCATGCAGAAGCAACCAATCGATGTGTCTCTCTCATATTGATGTTTCTCTCTCTTTCTCACTCTTTCTTTCTTCCTCCCTTCTTCCCTTCCATTCTCTTTAAAAATCAATGGAAAAAAATATCCTTGGGTGAGGATTAACACACACACACACACACACACACAATTTACCACCTAGAAATAAGTTGACAGCAAGATGGGAATGAGGGAAGGCATGCAGTATTGTGGTTTGGATGACTTTTAGTTACAAAAGTAAATGAGGCACTTGGTGGCTGTTGCTATTTTCAGCAAGGAAGTCACACCCAACATGTGAAGCATTACTGGTACACCTCATGGCCTGATCACAAGACTCCAGACAGTGCGCAGCCCCTTCTACAACTCATGCTGGATGTAGAAGAAGACAGACTTGCTTCTGCAGGCCGAGGGCCTGTGGTTGTCCACTGCAGGTAAGGCACGAACTTTCCTTTCCGCCTAAGCAAACAGGCCATCCTCTGTAAAGTCGTAGAGTAGATAGAAGTTGGGTTTTCCTTCTTAGTTGTGACTTTGTCAGTAAGTTAAATATTTATTGAAATTGGTTGACTTCCTCATATTTGAGTCTTGATCAAGATGATGTTTACAGTGACAATATAAGGGCATTTTTCAGCAAGCAATTATACAGTGGAAGAAATATCACTTCTGAATAAATGGCTCAGGAAATTGGCCAATTCAGTCCTCTACCTTGAAACTTATTTTGATTCATTTCATTTCATCAGTATAATATACACTAGGAATTAACTATTGGTGGCTTTTTTTGTTGTTTCAAAATGGCACCTGAACTATACTTGAATTTTATCTTGGTAACATGTATTATTATTTCACATTTAGTCAGTCAACTATTTTAAAAGTTAGTTCATGAAAAACAGATGGAAATAAATTATTAAATGGTACATGGTTAAGTGGTAGTTCCCCGAAAGGAAAACAAGCCCAGCTGCTGTGGCTCAGAAGTTGAGCGATGACCTATGAACCAGAGGGTCCCTGGTTCAATTCCCCTTCAGGGCATATGCCCGAAATCTCCAGGAGGGGGCATGCAGGAGGCAGCCAATCAATGATTCTCATCATTGATGTTTCTCTCTCTCTCTCTCTCTCTTCCTCTCTCTCTCTCCCTTCCTATCTGAAATCAATAAAAAACAATTTTAAAAATAAAAGGAACACAAAGTGCTGTTACTGAAACATGGGCTACTGGAGGTTCGGCCGACAAAAGCAACAGATGCCCTTGGTGGTCCTCTTCCCTCAAAGCTTTCCTCTCACAATGGATACCTCATCCTCTTTGTTTTCCTTTTAGTGTGCCCCCCAAAAAGCAACTATTTTTAAAGATATTTCAATAGCTAGCCACTTATTCTTAATACTTTCTCAAAACACTGTAATTTTTGTTGCTTCATGTAATGTCATGAGTCTTGTAGGATAGCTTTTGATGATATCTTTAATAAACAAAATACATCATTTTAGATCAGAGGTGGGCAAACATTTTTCTGCCAAGGGCCATTGGATATTTATAACATCATTCTTAGGCTGCACAAAGTTATCAACTTAAAAATTAGCCTGCTATATTTGGTCATACATTTCATTAACTCGCCCCTAATGCCATGGCAGGGCCAGACCAAATGATTTTGATGACCTTATACTCTCCCATGGGCCGGATGTTCCCCATCTCTGTTTTAGATGATAATTTTAGCCTCCTGCTTTTTTGAATTTTTGTGGTTTAATTAAGAGTAAAATTTACTATATTGTCTACTTATTCAAAAGCATCATTATCCAACTTTTAGCATTAAGCTTTATCCTAAACTTAGCTTGGGGCTGAGGAAAAATAACCTAATTGGCCATCCTTTAGGCTAGAACTGTCCCCCACCCAAAATCATAAAACACTGAAGATATATAAAATGAACTAGTTACTTCTCCTGCAAAATCAGCTCCCCTTCTGATTAGTATTTCTAAGAGCGAGACCATCTTTCTTCCAGGCATTCAACCTCTAACATTGTCAGTTATCTTTGGCCTTTCTCTTAATCCCAGCCTCAGTATCTAATCAGTCACTCGATTGGCTTTCCCTTCAAAGCTCCCATAATCTTCACTTCCTGTCCAAACACCCAAGTTCAGGCCCTTATGATCTCATTCGTATATTTTAGAAGTAGTCGGCTAATTGCACCCACACCCCATTTCCCGAGGCCCATCCCCACTATGGCCTCCCCAATGCACTTCTCTGCAATGATGCTCCTGAAACCCTCTTCCATCGCATGGATTCCCTGCTCAGAACTTCTCAATGGCTTCCCATTGCCTAGAACAAAAGTTCATAACCTTGGGTCTATGCTTGAGCTACAGGAGTCAGAGAACTCCTTGAAATTACGTAAACAAATTTGAGTATCTAATGTTATGTGAGTTTTATTGAAAAGTGAAATGTCCTAGTTTTCATCAAATTCTAAAATATAAAAAAGTTTTAGAAGATAAAGTCCAAACCTCTTGGCTTTCCATGTGAGACCCTTAATGAGTCTCAGTGTACCTTCCCAGCCTTCCTTCCCACTATTTCTCTCAAACAATTCTCTCTTCAAGCCAAACTTAACCTACTCATTGTTGCCTTAAACCCTTCCCATGCCTGAAATTTTTTCTCTCATTTGTGATAACCAAAATGCCTGCCATTCATACAGTACAGTTCTATCTTTAATGAAACAAACTCTAGATAGACACTTCAACGAAAGGGCGCCCATTCTATTTCAGAATTCCTTTGCACTCACATTCACAGAAACAAGCTCTAAATAGGAGGACGTAAATGCTATTTGAGTGCCAAGGGGGGAGCTATTAATTCAAACTAGGAAGTTTAAAGAAAACCTCTAAACATTGGAATCATGTTGAACAGGATCTTTAAAAATGACCAATGTTTGTGGTTTTAAAAGATGGTAGGGAGGGCATTTTTTCTCTGAAGAAATATCGTCAACATCAACACAAAAAGGAACATTGGAAAACAAAAGGCATTTTTTTTTTTGCAATGATTCATGTAAATGAAAAAAAATAGCACAAAGGGTACAAGGACTACAATAAAAAGACATTAAGCTTGAAAATTAGTCACATTCATATTATTCAAGGTCATGAATACCATAGTAGGGAGCTTCGATGTTGTGCTATAACTATTGGGAGCCATATACAGTTTTGAGTAGCGAGTAATATGATCAGGTCCCTAGCAGCTGAGTGTATTGTGAATTAGTCCAGGAAAAGACCAGGGACTTGGGACCCCTAATGAGATCATTGCTAATCATGAAGTAAGATGTCAAAAACGTGAGCACAGTCTATAGAAAGAAAGAAGAGGGGATCACAAAGCTCAGTAAAGGTGGAAAATAAAGGAATTGGTAACAGGTTAAATGTGGAAGGTGAGAGGGGGTGATGTTGAAAATGTCTCCAAGATTTTGCAGCTGGAAAACTTGAGGCTGACTGGTAATGCAAGCTAAGTTTAGGATAATGCCAGGGAAAATACAACCAACTCTGTTTAGATGCACTGAGATGAAGCAAGTGCAAAATAGTAACATCCACAGACTGAACTAGGAGATGGAATGCCAATCTAGAGTTTAGGAGAAACTTAGGGAATTTAAGTGTAAATTTAAAAGAAATTTACATGAAGACTATTCGTGGTTGAAATTGCTGAGAGAGAGAGAGAGAGAGAGAGAGAGAGAGAGAGAGAGAGAAGGAAGAGAGAGAAAGAGAGAGAGAAAGGGCTTGTTAGGTTGATGACATACTGTCTAATGCAGAAAAACGTGTAAACTCCCTGGACAGTAGTGTTTCTATCCAACTATAAATAACTTAGAAATATGTAACCTCTAGTACTTCCTCTCTCCTAAACTGAACTGAATTTTCAGTTATTCATGCGAATCTTCACCATCAGTATATCCAAGACCAAACTCAAGTCAGCCCTCATCCCAGAATTCCACCTTTGTCTTATGGGGACTACCATTCTTCTAGTCCTGATCATCTTTGACTTTTTCCTTTTCTGACTGTTCAACTCCAGTCCTTCAGACTCACATTTGGATGTCTCTTCCCTCCTTTTTTAGTGCCCATACCTTACCTAAATTCAGACCCTAATTATTCTTTGTTGACCAGTTACAATACACTTTTCACTTTTCTCCTCACCCAACACCTCCCCCACCCTACTCATCTTACTGCATATAACTAAAGGAGAGAATGTGTGTAAGCACTTAGCACAGAGCTGTGGTTGTAATACTCAGTATATGAGATCTGTTGGTGTTGCTATTGTTATTCATCCCAGCTGTTGTTTCAAATTTAAAGGTACCTTTTTAAAAATATATTTTATCTTTGCTGTTTTCCTTCCACCTTTTTATTCTTTGTCCTTTCTTTTTAGTGCAGGGATAGGTAGAACGGGGTGTTTTATTGCTACATCCATTGGCTGTCGACAGTTGAAAGAAGAAGGAGTTGTGGATCCGCTAAGCATTGTCTGCCAGCTTCGTGTAGACAGGTGAGTGTCTATGGGATCGGGTCATAGAGATCAGCGTATTATTATCTGTCACAACCTGCTCTGACCAACCTGACTTTGCAAACATCACAGGCTCCAAAGTCCTAAATCTCTGTAGTGATTTGTGTAAAGTTCTTAAGAATATACATTATATTCAAAAGCCAACAAAGAAAGTGTTGTTTGCAATACTGACCATCAGGAGTCCAAAACCAGCCTGGCCAGGGTGGCTCAGTTGGTTGAGTGTCATCCTGTGCACGGAGAGGTTGCCGATTTGATTCCTGGTCATGGAATATACCTGGGTTTTGGGTTCAATACATGCACATATGGAAGGCAACCAATTAATGTCTCTCTTTCACATCTCTCTCTCTCTCTCTCTCTCTCTCTCTCTCTCTCTCTCAGCTCTAAGCATGCCCTTGGGGGGAGAGAGAGAGAGAGAGAGAGAGAGAGCGAGAGAGAGAGAGAGAAAGAGAGAGAGAGAGAGAGAGAGAGAGAGAGAGAGAGAGAGAGAGAAAACAAGACCAAAAGCTTATGCTTAATCCTTCTTTGTCTCTGATGCAGGTTGTTTGTGGTGGTAACTGTTCCTTCTTAGTCTACAGCCCTATTCCTTACATACTCTGTATTTTCATTTGACTTAACTGAATCATCCACTTTTGACTCCAAAGTCCTCATCTTGATCCTTTAAAACAGGGGTGGGCAAACTTTTTGACTCGAGGGCCACAATGGGTTCTTAAACTGGACCGGAGGGCCGGAACAAAAGCATGGATGGAGTGTTTGTGTGAACTAATATAAATTCAAAGTAAACATCATTACATAAAAGGGAACAGTCTTTTTCTTTTTTTTAGTTTTATTCATTTCAAACGGGCCTGCTGCTTTAAAATGAGGGATATGTCATACTACCAAGAGCGCCCCCTTTTTTAATTGTGAAAAATACACATAAAATTTACCATCTGATAAATTTGGGGTGACATCTGAGTGGGTATAAGGTGAAACAGTCATTTTTATACATAGATCATTTGGTCACTTTTGTGATGATGCATGCTTATGTGTTGAAAAGAGAACAAAAAAGAACTTCTCTTCCTTTCACCCCAACAAAGCCCACCTGGGTACGTGAATAGGTGAGCCAGTGATGGAGAAAGTGCGCAGGTGCTCCTTGAGAACAGACACAGACAGAAAGAAGGCTGTTGTACCAGCATATGAGCAGCCGACCTCCGCTCTGTACTTCAATGTGCTGTAGCGGGAGAAGAGCTGCTCTGAAAGGCTGAAATACTGGGCTCTCTTCTTTCATTCATACAGCGAATACTGATTACTCACCTCCTGCCCAAGGCATTGTTCCAGATGCTGCCAGTGCAGCATTGGCCGGCATGAGTGAGGCTCTGCTGTCCTAGAGTTTGCATGCTAACAGAGAGAGAGGAGATAATAAACACGCTAAGAAATAAACAGGATAATTTCAGACAAAAATAAAAGCTGAGAGGTAGTAAGAAAGAGAGAGAGGGAGATTTTGCTCTGTGACCTAGCGTTTCCTAAAAGTAGATTAGAGTCACCTTTTAAGATTCATTTGATAAATATCAAGCACCTACTAGGTGCTGAGATTTCAATGAGACAAAGATTCTTCTTAAAATTCAATGAAATAATATCCATAAAGCACTTAGGACAGTCTGGCACATGGTAAGCCTTAAGTACATGTAAACTGTGTTATTATTCTCTTCATTATTATTAAAATTACCAATAAAGTTTTTCCTGTCTCTAAAAATGAAACATTCAAATCCCCTTATTGGCTAAAGTTTTCCCTCTCTATTTCTATCTGTCCTTGACCCCTTTTAGATAATAATGTCTAAATCTTGTAAGTGTATCTGTCCTCTATTTTTCTCTTAACTTTGGCTTATTGGAGGCTGCTCACTGTGGCGGTTACGATTCTAGGCTCCGGAGACAGGTTGCCTGGGTTTGCATCATGACTCGCACCATGTTCTGACCGTGTGGCCTTGGGCAAGTTATAGGACTTCTCCATGCCTTGGTTTTCTCACGTGCAAAATAGAAGTAATAATACTATCTACTTTCTATTTTTGTTGAAGGAGTAAGAGAGAATTTTCAAAGTGCCTTTTACACAGTAAGTGTGCAGCCAAGTTTAGCCACAACTATTATCAGTATCTAAAGCAAGAAACCCGGGCATGTATCTGTAAACAGGAACTAATAATCTATATCCCACAGGGTTGCGGTGGCATTAAGATGGATTACACCTGTGAGGTGCTTTGTAGAACACTTAGCCTATGTTTCCTTCCCTCTCTCTACCTTCCCCTCGTCCACCTTTCCATACCCCACATGTAACTGCTTCCAAAAATGCTTTCTTTTTTTTTTCATTTTTATTGATTGATTTTAAAGAGAGAAATATCAATTTGTTGTTCCACTTATTTATGCAAACATTGTGCGTGCTCTGACCAGGCCAGAACCTGCAACTGAGCTACCCCACCAGGGCTCATGTTTTCCTTTTGTACCTGAGAAGATCAATTCCAATGATCTCTCCCTTTCCTCTTACAATCCTCTTAGTCCCCCCAGCTCCCCTTGCCTTCCATCAGTACTGTCCACCCTGGCTCCAGTAGAATCTGGTGGCTTCACGTCAGGCTCTGGGACCTACCTTCACCCAGAAGAGGGGCCCTCATCAGAAAGTAAGGGGCAGCACCCCATCAGCTGGAGCTGCTCCCACAATGACCTTGATCTCTCTTGCTTTGTGCTTCTGTAAACAAGACTCCTGCTTGGGAACCAAAATCCCCCAGGTACTCTAGTTGATATCCCTGTGCCCTGCTCTCCTACTGGCTATTGCTAGAATTCCATGAACACCAGATCTAAACTGACTCCGAACCAAGTTGGCCTCCAACACCTGCTCTGACTCTATTTGGAACAACATCCTAAAAAGCACTGGGCATGGTGTATGCATTTTTTGGCCCCCATTACTCTTAATCTTGCCTATTTGCCCTCTCATCAAGCACCTCCCCCAACTGCTTTTGTAGCCTGACCTCCACCTTGGTTTCCACTTCCCAGTCCCAATTTGTCAAGCCTACCAAATTGTCCTCTAACTTTGAATGGAATCATAAATACATTTTTTTAAAAATCATATCACAATGCCTCCTCTATCTGCTCCTTCCTTCCTAAAGCAAATGGTCAGAAAACTTAGCCTTGGCCCTCCATCACCACCAAGGTTTTCCCGCAAGGCTTGTCCTTTCTCTTCTGATAGGATTTTCAAAACACAGCCAGCTTCTCTGCTGACCTGAAGCCATGGACTCCCGCCCCCCTGGGTTTGAACTACTGCCAGTATGTGTCTCGAAATCATTCTGACTTATTCATCAACATCCCTTCTACATAAAATTCTTTCTGAGCAGCTGCTGTTTATCAAACAGATCCTCTCCTTTAAACTTTCCTTGAAAGCTTTTTTCTTTTTCCTTCCTTCCTTCCTTCCTTCCTTCCTTCCTTCCTTCCTTCCTTCCTTCCTTCACAGGATCAGCATCCATTTTCCTTTGTTGTCCCTTCCATCTGTAGTGCACTCCTGTTGTCACTGTGAAAAGGGATACAGAAAACCTTCCTCCTTTCCTTCACCCCATCCCACCTCTTGTTCCCCCATCCTTCTTGCTTCTTGCATTCAGCTTTTCCCCGTCATACCTCATTTTAAAAATATCCGTGTCTGGCTGCCTGCTGCCACTGACCATGTCCTTAACGCCTGACGGGAAAGGCGGAGATGGTCCCTGTTCTGCTCTTGGAGCTTTTCGTCCTTTATCAGTTCTTCAAACCTCATCCCCACCCTAGACTCCGCAGTTGTCCGTCCTTGCCCTCAGCTCTGGATCTGCCTTCAGACGTTCCAGAAAGCACTCTTCATACTCAGAAGTGTATTTAATCTTTGCCTTTTTTCATGGTCTTCAAGGAACATCTCCTTTAACTCCCAAAGTGAACCTACCAGTAGGAAAATAGGTATTCTTTGGCTTCTTTAAAAAACAAACAAACAAACAAAAAAAAAAAACAAGGAAAGGAAGAATTCATGGTATCAAATAACTTGCCCAAGGTCATGGTGCTTAGAAAATGGCAACATAGACTTCTTTGGAATTCAGGACTTCTGATTTCTGACTCAAAGGTATGACTGTTATAGAGAAAGTAATCAGGCTTTTGGAATAGGTTTATTGTAAAGCTGCTTGAAAAAACACATATCTCTTTGGTAATGCTTTGCCAGTTTTAAAAAATGCAATGACACCATAATTTTTAAAACAATGCAATGACACCATAATTTTTAAAACAATTTTTAACATGAATGAGAGCGGTTTCACAAATAGAGTGATGATATCAGCAGTTGCTGTAAGAGTATAATTTTTTTTAATTTTTTATTACAAAGGGTAAGAGTATAATTTTTTTATCTTTTCATATAGATATTCATATGTCTTCTTTCTTTCCCTCCAATATTTATTTATTTATTTATTTTGCTTACAGTTGACGCTTAATAGTGTATTAATTTCAGGTGTACGGCATATAGTGATTAGACGTTTATATAACTTACAAAGTGATACCCCAGTAGGTTTAGTACCCACCTAACATCATGCATAGTTATTACAATATTATTGACTATATGCCTTAGGTTGCAATTTACATCCCCATGACTATTTTGTAACTACCAATTTGTGCTTAATACTCTGGTTTCTCTTCTGAACATATAAATCTTTCATCTTAAGTGTATAATTTGAGGGATATAGGAAAGTTGCCTCATCTCAAAATATCTACATAGGGAGGATGCCAAAAATACCTGTGTAAGGTCAACATCTATATTACTGCTAATTAGAGAGCCAATCCTTGGCTAAAAGGATCATTGCTCTTTAAAGTCCACTTAACCTAGAGATGGGAGTTGAGGGTGTCACTTTATACCTTCTCAGCTATTAACACTTTAATGTAAACGAAATAATCTATTCTTTCCAGTACGACAGTTAAAGAGAGTGTAGCTGCCTGCATTGTCAGTACATTCAGAACATGGGTTT